TCTATCTATCGATCTATCGATCTATCTGTCTATACATATATATCTATTTATCTACCTATCTATCTATCTCTCTATCTATATATTTATCTATCTATCTATCTATCGATCGATCTATCTATCTTTCTATCGATCGATCTATCTATCTATCTATCCATCGATCTATCTATCTGTCTAGCCATCTATCTATCTCTCTGTCTATCTATCTATCTATCTCTCTCTCTCTCTTTCATCTGTCTATCTGTCTACCTGTCTATCTGCCTATCTGTCTTTCTATCTACCTATCTATCTACCTATCTATCTATCTATCTATCAATCTATCTAGCCATCTATCTATCTATCTATCTGTGTGTCTATCTATCTACCTATCTATCTATCTGTCTATCTTTCTATCTATCTATCTCTCTATCTCTCCACCCATCTATCGCTCAAAACTCTCTCTATCTATCTATTTATCTATCTATTTATCTATCTATCTATCTGTCTGTCTATCTATCTATCTCTCTCTCTCTCTTTCATCTATCTATCTGTCTACCTGGCTATCTGTCTGTCTATCTATCTATCTATCTATCTGTCTGTCTGTCTGTCTGTCTGTCTATCTGTCTATCTGTCTATCTGTCTATCTGTCTATCTTGCTATCTGTCTATCTGTCTATCTGTCTACCTGTCTACCTGTCTATTTGTGGTGCAGTGTCATTCAGTGCAATGTAGAGTAGTGAAATGTAGTGTGGTGGTGTAGTGGAGTGTATCATGTCATCATGTCGCCGTCGGATATGTTTGGATCAAAGCATTTCGCCACTGGGTGTGCCACGATGAACATAAACGTTAACATCATGCTGACCCCTGTTAATATCATTCGCATGGCACCTATCTCACTAGAATTTACCAAAGAACAGAAAACATCATTTTTTCGGGGTTGCGCTTCATCTCGCCTCGATGAAGCACAACCAAGTGCTTGGGAGCACAACCAAAGTCATTTATCGCACAAAAATGAGCTTGGTTGCGCCCCCAAACGCTGGGTTGCGCTTCATCTCCCCTCGATGAAGCACAACCTTGGAAAAAGATATTTTTTTTTTATCTTCTTTGGTAAATTTATGTCATCCAGACCATAGATTATTTTGCCTGTCGAAAAACTTGAAAGAAAGCGTGAAAAAACAAAAAATGTAACTCTTGTTTCATTTTTCCCTTTGAGCCTCTCCGTGTTTTTCCTTTCTTTTTTCTCCTTTTATTCTGCTTTTGTGTTTTTTAGATTTTGCTGCTTTGCTTTTTCGCTTTTCCGACATTGATACTTTTTTCGCTTTTTTCGCGTTTTTCGCGAAGTTAGAATATGCTACGGTCTGGATGACATAAATTTACCAAAGAAGATAAAAAAATATCTTTTTCCAAGGTTGTGCTTCATCGAGGCGAGATGAAGCGCAACCCAGCGTTTGGGGGCGCAACCAAGCTCATGTTTGTGCGATAAATGACTTTGTTTGGGCTCCCAAGCACTTGGTTGTGCTTCATCGAGGCGAGATGAAGCGCAACCCCGAAAAAATGATGTTTGCTGTTCTTTGGTAAATTCTAGTGAGATACGTGCCATACGAATGATAGTAGTAGTAGTCGTAGTCGTAGTCGTCGTCGTCGTAGTAGTAGTCGTAGTAGTAGTAGTAGTAGTAGTAGAAGTAGTAGTAGTAGTAGTAGTAGTACTACGGCCAGGACGGATGTGCTGCCCGGGAAAGTGTGTTTTGACTGCGCAGGGCCAATGTTTTGTGAGATTCCCCGTGTCGTTCGTTTGGGCAAACGGATGACAAATGTTTCCCTCATTTCATCAACATCATCATCATCATCAGCATCATCAGCAACAACATCAACATCATCAACATCATCAACATCCCAATTGACTGTAAAGTTTAACGGGGGTGGGAGTTTACTATTCCCTAATACCCTTGCTGATCTTCCCAATTGAATGCAAAGTTTAACGGGGATGGGAGTTTAATATTCCCTAATACCCTTGTTGATCTTCGCAATTGAATGTAAAGTTTAACGGGGGTGGGAGTTTAATATACCCTAATACATTTGTTGATCTTCCCAATTGAATGCAAAGTTTAACGGGGGTGGGAGTTTAATATTCCCTAATACGCTCGTTGATCTTCCCAATTCAATGTAAAGTTTAACCGGGGTGGGAGTTTAATATTGCCTAATACCCTTGTTAGTGGGAGAACCTCCACAGAGTCAACCCCTAACTTGGTTGACCCTCTGGAGGCCCCTCCACCGGGCCCACGTATTCGGAGTTCGGAACGTACTTGTACAGAACAAAAAACGATACTTTATGTATACTTAGTAGAAATCACAAGGTCAACAACTAACCAAAAACATTAGTTTCTGTGGACCCGGTTGGACTTTATGTAAACTTGCTAGAAATCACAAGAAGTCAACAACTAACCAAAAACAATAGTTTCTGTGGACCCGGTGGGAGAGCCTCCACAGAGTCAACCCCTAACTTGGTTGACCCTCTGGAGGCCCCTCCACCGGGTCCACGTATTCGGAGTTCGGAACGTACTTGTACAGAACAAAAAACGATACTTTATGTATACTTAGTAGAAATCACAAGGTCAACAACTAACCAAAAACATTAGTTTCTGTGGACCCGGTTAGACTTTATGTAAACTTGCTAGAAATCACAAGGTCAACAACTAACCAAAAACATTAGTTTCTGTGGACCCGGTTGGACTTTATGTAAACTTGCTAGAAATCACAAAGTCAACAACTAACCAAAAACAATAGTTTCTGTGGACCCGGTGGGAGAGCCTCCACAGAGTCAACCCCTCACTTGGTTGACCCTTTGGAGGCCCCTCCACCGGGTCCACGTATTTGGAGTTCGGAACGTCATTGTACAGAACAAAAAACGATACTTTATGTAGTCGTGGCGGAAGCGCCTCCACAGCGTCAACAACTAGCTCAGTCGACTCCCTGGAGGCCCGTCCAACGAGTCCGCGTGCTGACAACACGGTATACCTACAAGAATAACGATTCACCAACAACAAGCACACAAACATTCCAGCTGCTTGGGTGAGCTTTTCAAATTCCAAAAGTTTCTTTCCAACCGATTCTTGTCCAAAATGCCTACCTTATACATCTAACGTTAGAAATCGGCAAACTCTTCAACGCAATTTCCACGAAGTCATGAATCCGCTTGTTGATCTTCGCAATTGAATGTAAAGTTTAACCGGGGTGGGAGTTTAATATTCCCTAATACCCTTGTTGATCTTCCCAATTGAATGCAAAGTTTAACGGGGGTGGGAGTTTAATATTCCTTAATACCCTTGTTGATCTTCCCAATTCAATGTAAAGTTTAACAGGGGTGGGAGTTTAATATTCCCTAATGCCTAATACCCTTGTTGATCTTCCCAATTGAATGTAAAGTGTAACGGGCCTGGGCGTGGTAGTAGTAGTAGTAGCAGCAGTAGCAGTAGGAGTGGTAGTGGTAGTGGTAGTGGTAGTGGTAGTGGTAGTGGTAGTGGTAGTGGTGGTAGTAGTAGTAGTAGTAGTAGCAGTCGTAGTAGTAGAAGGAATAGTAATAGTAGTAGTAGTAGTAGTAGCAGTAGTAGTAGTAGCAGTCGTCGTCGTAATAGTAGTAGCCGTAGTAGTAGTAGTAGTAGTAGTAGTAGTGGTAGTGGTAGTAGTAGTCGTCGTCGTCGTCGTCATAGTAGTAGTAGTCGTAGTAGTAGAAGTAGTCGTCGTCGTAGTAGTAGTAGTCGTCGTCGTCGTCGTAGTAGTCCTCATAGTAGTAGTAGTAGTAGTAATAGTAGTAGTAGTAGTAATAGTAGTAGTAGTAGTACTAGTACTAGTAGTAGTACTAGTAGTAGTACTAGTAGTACTAGTATTAGTAGTAGTACTAGTAGTAGTACTAGTAGTAGTAGTAGTAGTAGTAGTAGTACTAGTACTAGTACTAGTACTAGTACTAGTAGTAGTAGTAGTAGTAGTACTAGTACTAGTACCTAGTAGTCGTCATAGTAGTAGTAGTAGTCGTAGTAGTAGTAGTAGTCGTCGTAGTAGTAGTAGTCGTAGTAGTAGTAGTCGTAGTAGTAGTAGTAGTCGTCGTCGTCGTCGTCGGCGTGCTTGCGTTACAAACAGTCGCACCTTCTCTTGCCTCTCCCTCCTGTCTTTTCCCCCCTACCTTTCGCCCCCCCCTCTCAAGTTTGTTTGCCCGGGAAATTGCAACTTGGTTGTTGGCTTAAATCTGTTGGGTTTTACCCTTTGGAAATCAATTCCAAAAGGTTGTGGACCAAACGATTTAAGGCATTTTTTTCCAGGACTAGACCCTTTTGAGCGGTACCACGGGCTATCACATATACACACACATATATATATATATTTATACATACATCTGTATGTACACGCATAGATAGGTATGGGTATGTAGTATGCAAATGTACCAAATATGACCAGCACGTATAATTTTTATCTCGGTAGTTCATCATACCGGGTTGATTATGGTTGATTAACACATCGCCTCCCGGCAAAGAAATTGAATTAGGCTACTGCAAAAGCCTTGCTGCGAATTCGTTGGCTTTTACAGTGAAGGAGTCATTCGTTCCCTCAGTTCAATCATGTTCAATCCCTCAGCCGTTTTGAGTTGGTTCCGCGGACATTTTGAAAGAGAGAACCATGGAGAACCCAGAGTACTCCTGACAAAAAAAACGGAGCAGAATCAATGAATTTCGCTCATGTGGCCAATGATGGATCTGAAATGAGTTTCGTAATTAAACAGCAGGTTGCACGGACTACGGACTGGCAGAAAAAAACAAAAAGCTTTCGAGCATTGAAAACCTCTTTTCTCCCATCGCCCTCAAACAAAGGAAACCATTTTGTCTGATACAAATACAAATGAAAGATTTCTGCAACAAGAAGATCTCCCGGCCTTCGCACATATAGAAGTTCAATCTTAGCACATCATGACAAGTGTGCCAGCATATGCAGCATGGCGCTGAAAACAGTGATCGTGGGTGGAGGCCTGATTTTGCCATGCGCTCGCAAGCCGATTTAGCAGTGACTGAGTTAGTCACTGCTAGTCCACTTCAACGCCAGGCATTGGTGGTTGCGCTGCAGCGATTGCGCCGCTTGTCTCAGCGCTACAATGTGCTACAACTCTGCGTTATACGTTTCTGATAGTTTCTGATCGGATGATTTGGATGTGGAGTTCTTTCTTATCTTGAACCCTGAAGAGACGCTGGAGAGATGAGGGATGAACATATGAGACCAGATGAGACCAGCTTGCTGGAAAGGCTCCACCGTGCTGGCGCAGATGTCACGGTCTATGAGGCCAGATATCGTCAGATGTCACAGATTTGGGGATGGCTCAAAATCTATCATTACCATTCATTACCATATTTGGGGGGAATAGACATCCATTACCCTCTGGTAATTTAACATAGCTATTGAAAATGGCCATTTATAGTGGATTTACCCATTAAAAATGGTGATTTTCCATAGTTATGTTAAATTACCAGAGGGTAACCAGCTATTATAGAGTACCTATGGGTACCAGGGTTTGACCGCCATTTGAACACCAGTTGTGTTGCAACTTGGAAGGCTGCCCCCACGTTGAAAGAGATTGGCGCAGGGATCAATATCCAGGCGGTCGCTGTGGGTGCCTTTGCTGCAAAGTGGCTACAATTGGCGGCATGGCATGCAACCATATGCAAACTGTATTAGTGTGTGTGTGTGTGTATGCCAGTCCGTGCGCATGCAGGGTTTTCAATGACAGGAAGGCTCTGCTGAAGGATACTCTCAGGATTTTTGTCAGGGAAGGAAACCAGCCTTTTTCTAGCCGTTTCCAGCCATTCTGTTCTAAATCCTGCCTCCATGTGCATGCTGCCTCAACATCTTGACCCACTTGCTGAGATACATTGAGATACATGATCGAATAAATGAATATATATATATATAATTATATATATATGTATGCAATGCTTCTGAGGCGTCCTGACAGACCTGGGAATTCCCCTGGAGAGCTTCCATGAGGGTCAAGGCTTGGCTATTCACAAACTTTTTTCAGCCGGTGCTGTCGAAAGTGCCACCTGCACTGTGCTGTCGAGAGGCGATGCCATTTTCACCAGTGCAGTGGAGTATTTTACGCCAGAGGGCTTCTTCATCGCATCAGAAGCTGTGGGGCTGCTTGGTTCAATGCTTAAAATGAAGTTCAATGGATGGCAATGGATCTTTGTTGAGTTTTCTCTACTCTCCTAGTGATAGTGCGCACACACATGTCCTCAACGATGTGCCAGAAATGCTTCGTTACTGAAATTAATCAGCAAATGAAGCCTTCCTTCCCTCACTGGCCTTTGATTGAATTCCTGGTGTATTCAAATTCTGAGTCAACACACGGAGTAGCTAGAAATTTAAAAGCAGATGTTGGGTTTCTGCTGCTTCTTTGTCACAGGCTGAAGGCAGGCTCGGCTCACCCACAACTGTCAGCACATCGAGTAGCTCGCCTGCAGGGTGTGTACAGACATTTTTGCTCTTTGGATGACACATCAGATGATTGTGTCCGTGTCGTGTCACCATAGGTGTTGGTTCACGGCCTCGCGTGGGTGAATCATGGTGAATCAACTTAACGCAAACTGCGATGACTCAACTCTTTCACTTCGAGTGCACACCCGATTTACATTTCCCATGTACTGCATCGAAACAGTCCGAGGCAAAGTTCCACAGCACCTTGGTGGCCGAGTGCTGTCGACTGCTGGGTGAGGCTGGTTAGATGCTCAGTGTCCAGAAAACCGTGGCAGAGACATGCACAGACCAGTGAATCAATTGTAACTGCTTTGTCATCTTTGTTTGGGCATCTCGGTGGGACAGGACAAAGTGATCCTCAACAGTCGCTTTGTGCAGCTGGAGAGGCATGAGGCCGGTGCTGATTGGAAGCCCTATCAAGAGATATCAAGAGGTTTAGCGGATATTAGCGGATATATAATAGGTGTTCCCGCAACTATAGGACTAGGCATGGTAGTCAATCTATGTCAATCTAAGATAACTCAAGATACTCAAGAATTTTGAGGCAGCAAGCCTCAGAGGGCCTCAGACCTCAGATCTATCACTTGATTCACTTGGTGCCGAACAAGGTGAGGATGCCAGCGTTTGTATTTCCTGTCCCAGAGGACCATGTGGTTCTGCACTTCGAGAACAGCACCACGAAAAATCCGATGGCACCAGCACTTCAGCTGCAGTCTTTGGGCGGAATAGAGGACACGATAGGACACGCCTAGTGGCAGTGAGTGCCAACAGTTGGATGTGTGCCAGCCCTATCCTCCCCTCGATTTGGTTGTGGGAGGAAAGGAGCCCTAAAGATCTTCAAAACTTTGATTCAAAAGCTCATCCAACATCCATCCAACATCGTCCCATGTCTTCCGGTAAAAGCATGTAAAAGCCTGGAAGTTCACTAAAATATAGGAAGAACATGAGAAAATGGGTTTGTCTGAAAATGTTGGGTATATTCCCATAGTTTAATAGCCATTTAATAGGGATCATGATCAGCAAAACCATTGGGTTTAGGGGTTTTCCCTATTTTCAGACACACCCAAATCACGAAAAAAACGGAGGGACCATGATCCTTTTGAGGTCACGTGCCACTTCGTCGTGGGCGCTGATGGCCTTAAGAGCCGCCTCCGTGGCGCCTTGTTGGGCGATGGAGATCCAAGGCCATGGCCGCCATGGAATTCATCAATTGAGTGGGAGAAACCCAAACAAATTATGGATGGGGATCCTATTTTTACATATTTTTACATATGTTTCTCCCATCTTCAGGGAAATCTTGAACAGATCATAACAGATCTAGTAGCAGCACTTCGTATATACCTAGTCTGATTTTTCTTGGATCCCAAGTCCCAATGATTGGAATTCAAGGCCTGGTGAATCCGGAACTGGTATACATGTATCTTCTGTGCGAATGATTCCCACGAAAGACGCATAGTCTATGCCAAGAGCATACGTTCAATGTCAATCATTATTTGGCATTGCAATGCATTGTGGAATTGCAGTCACTCTGGTGATTTCTGCAGTCTGGGGTCTAAATCGATCAAGATTTCAACAAAAGGTTGTCGTCTAATGATGACTTGGTAACTCCTGGAGGAGCCGAATCTACTGAGTAATACTGGCCCAACATGCAATTCTGCATGGAGTACGTCCTTATGGCCCTACGACTGGGTAAGGGGCAGGTAAGAGGCAGGAGTTCTCCTACGGTCATACGCCTAAGCTATCTTCTTAGTGATTGAGAATGAAGTCCTGCTGCCAGTGTCACCTGGTCTGACTGAAAATGCCTCATGAACGACCAACGAGGGGATAAAGTATGATAGTGAATCAACTGGAATCAACTGTATGATAAAACAAATTTATACAAATTCATAGTGACATATACTGACAAAGAACTGTCAGGATGTCAGCTACCACCAGCTTGAATTTCAGGGATGCCCAAAAAGCATGTTCATTTCAAGCCCGGGCCTGTCCTAGTCAGGAAATATCCCATCAATCATTGAATCACATCGCATCGGCGCGTGATATGATTTTATTTCGGGCAATACGAAGTGATCAATTTACTACAATTATATACTCCTGTTACTGATTCATGGTATTTGGTGTCATGCCAATATTCAGCTCAAGCGCAATCACTGGCAATTCTTCTGAGACGTACAGGACAAAATTGGTTCAGAGCACAGCGGATGACATGCGATAAACGTTTGAAGGGGATACCCTCTGGTAATTTAACATAACTATATATTAAAAATGACCTATAGTGGATTTACCCATTGAAAATTGTGATTTTCCATAGTTATATTAGTTTACCAGAGGATACTCCCAGTCAGGGAACACTGAAGGAATCACTTATGATCAGCCTCTCAATCCTGTTGGATCTTGGGCGCGCACTGCCATGGCTGGTTGGAAAGTGCTGGTTCCAGCCACTGTGGCAATGGTGCTGCTGGTTCTTTGCCATCAAGTCTCGTAACAATTTTCAAAAAGCATCATTTGTGGGCGGTTTCTGTTTTGATAGATTCTGATGTATTCTGATAGATTAAAAGCTCAACGTTCTCAGTCGCAGGTGGTTTTTGTTTTGATTGGCCATGATCTCCCGACATCTCCCAACCACTTTCAGCATGAATCAGTTGGAACAGTTTGCCAAGGTTTGCACAGTACCTGGTCCACAGCTTTGGATTGATAGGCGGCAAGTCCAACTGGCATTGCGAAGATCGCCGCCGAACGAGACTCTGGACACCAATATCACCAATGAGACTGGGCAGGAAGGGGTCACAGTGGTTGCGGAGCTGCCAACCACTGGCACACCAACCTCACCCACGATGCTTGCAACAACCTCTATGATTGCGACCACACAGATCACAGACGGAACCACTGAGGGCACCGAGGGAACCACAGTGCCAAGGATGTCGTTACCATTCGTACCATCACTGCGTTTGGGACAAACTCGGAAGGTTTCTCGGTGGTCCAGGAAATGGGAGCAATATTTTGAAATGCTTTAAACAAAAAAAAACATGTTCTGGGTGTTGCAGACCAGTGCGGTACTTTGTGCTCTCTTGCCAAAGCATTCTTTAGAATTCTAGAGCGACATAGAGCAACTAAATGTATCCAAATCTTACAGTAGATGATTAAATCCGTCTTGGAACTTCCTCGGTCGAAAGAATTAGATCACCCGTTGGCACAAAAGAGATAATTCTTGAGGTCTTAAGTCTCCACCGCAATGTTAAATGAGGTGTTGTCTATCATTTTTCAATGGACCTTTTAGGTAATAGGCTGTTGCTGTTGTGGACTGTTGTCTTGGTACCTCAAACATCCTCAAACAAAACAACTCTGTCCATTTTGCACATGCCCGCCAGTTCTTGCTTTTATTTAGACATATGGTTACCATGTTCACCTTTATTTGGAGGTACCGGCTCCAACTGCAACCCAGGCTATCAGTATTTTTAGGCAAATAACTGCTCGCAAAGTAAAAGCTGGGTACCCTTACATATGTCTTTAGTTTTGATGGCAACTTTTGGGCATCGTTGCAACTAAGACTCCTTTGTCCGCTGCACATTCAATGATTTCAACACTTATATAATTATATAATAATAGTACGTTACAAAATCCTATCAGAGCCCAGCACACTGAGGAACTTAAATTCATCCACATTACCAAGACTGGAGGCACTGCAATCGAAGATTGGGCCAAAGGCCGCGGCCTCCTGGCATGCACAGCAAATGGCAAATGGGTTTGCCGAGGTGTAATAACACGGTTTGCCATGGTTTGCCATCATGCAATCTTACTCAACTTCATGCATTTCGTGCGTGTGACATGTTGGACAAGGCTTGGAAAATGTTGGAGATGGGTTGACGTCGGATGTTTCCACTGCATTGGTCCAGTGATGTCCAGTGTCTTAGGCTTGCGCTGGGGACGATTCCACTCTGAGTATGGAGCGCGTGGTCTACCTGGCAGCCCCTGGCATCATCCCTTTCCAAAGCTTCCTTCAAGTTTACGACATCGATGCTTGGCCAAACACCTTGGCAAGTCGTATGCAGGTCGCAAGAGGTACATGTGTTTTTCGATGTATTCGCTTGTGGGTGCTTCTGTGAAGGTCAGCGGGAAACAAGGGTAGACATTCCAAATCCGATTGTATCAGTGCAAGGTTCCCCGTTCCAGATTCTAGTTTGCTTTCGACATTTTGAATGTTTTTTTGAATGGTGATGACCTTTGTCTTGGCACAAATCGCCAAAGCAATACCTGGGTAGCTGCTGTGACAACAGGCTTCACCCAAGTCTCCAGGCTATGATTGGTTTCTGGTTGTGCGGGACCCTGTGGAACGCATCGTCTCAGAATACTACTGCCCGTTCACTGGCACAAAGACTCCAAAAACGGACACCGAAGCAGCTCTTCAATGGCTTAGCATTCCTTTCTTTTTGGATTTTTCCTCCAATTGGTGGCAATCGTATGATAGTGCGGGCAAACATGTTCATCATTGTTCATCGATTTTCTGGCGCCAGTCTATCTTGAGGATGTATTCAACAAGTTCGTGCAGCTTTGGAAGCAATATGAGGACATTGTTTGTCGATGTTTGTCGAACTGCTGTAGAAGCCCTGGCTGTCAGACATGCAGAGCAGAAGTGTCAAACTATGTCAAACTGTTCTGAAAGTGGAAGGTCGGATGCAACCACATTTTTGGCCTCCTGCCGAAGGTAGTAGCATGTTGCAACATGTTTTGTCGAAAGTGCGAGATGAGGCAAAGCTCTCTAGATGGCAGCAGATGGATACACCCTGGCAGTTTCCAAGCCATGTCTGAAGCCTGCCAGCAATGCCCTAAATTGGAGGGAGCGTGCATCATGCACCTTGAGATAGATCTAGCTTACATCCAGAACGAAATACCGCCCTGGGTTTTGATCTTTGCATGTGTGTTGCCGCTCACTCCCAATGTGCGCTAGAAGTTGTTGCTCCACGCCCTTTGAGCTCAGACTTAAGTCAAGTAGAATTCGCACCCCTGTGACACTGTGCGCTTGTGATGAAAGAGGAGCGAAAGAAAGATAAGCACAATTGTGTGCGGACCCATTTTGTTTTGAGTCCTTGCCTTCGCATTTGTTTGTGCGTTGTCATGTGTTGTCAGCGTGCAAATGCATCATATGCGCAGAGAAGGATTCAAGGAAAACTGTATCTATATGCACTTTGTTCCAGCACAGAACATCCATCCATCCATCCAAAATTATAGTCAATTTCATGTGGATATGCCGGATGAGAGAGATGTATCCCCGTGCGCATGCAAGCGGATCCATGTCCACGCACACGGCGGTGCAAATGCTCATGCAGGTGCGTACCCATGCCTGCAGGCGTTTACAGACTTGCACAGACAATATACTCAGACAAATGAATTTTAGACAGAATCATCTGAAATCATCTGAATCTGGGGATATCTATGGATATCTGGCATGATATCTGGGATGGTTCCTTTGCTGATCCTGTTTCCTTTGCTGTTTCAGAACTGTTTCTGCTTAAGGATTACCTGGACCCCAGCAGTGTGCAACACGTGTTGCACTTTGAGACCTTGGGCCTGGCCGGAGCCGTATGGATCCGCCAGAAATCACCCAGTTTTCTCATGCCTCAAGGGATCTCTTGGGATACCTTGGGATACCTTATAAGAATGGAAAGATCCACCATTCTCAATGGGAAAACTCACTATAAATCACCATTTTCAATAGCAAACTGTTAAATGACCAGAGGGTAGATGGTACTGTAAGATGGTTCTGTAAGATACACTTAAGATACCTTATGCATCCTTATGCCATGGTTCTCCTTTGCCATGGTCGTCTTTGCTCTCGCATGATGGCTCAACCAGGCTATTGCGGGCATATGGCATCAGCTTCAATGGTATGCCGCGAAAGAATGTGGCAACCTGGGCTGCACCGATGGTTTTTTGAGATGATATCTTCCAATGGTTGGGTGATGTTTAGAGGTCTCTTAAATCGCACATTTCACCACCCAATGGCTGCACAGTTGGCAGATTCTCCCTGTCTATTGGGCTGATGTCCACTGCAGGCAAAGGGCCAGAAGTTCAACAGCAGCAATTTGTGGCCAAACACCTTGAAAATGATCCGGGCGAAATATGCGGCTGACTTTGAGAACTTCAACTATACCTGTCAAAGGTGCCCCAACTGAGCTGGCCTGAGGTTATCATGACCATCAGGTTTGACAGCACACTAAATATATATATACGTATATATAAAAATACATAATTAAACATATATCAAACATATTATGACAATGTGTTTTCAAAAACGACATCGGTTAAATAATGTTAAATATACGATACACAGACTATCACAGACTATCACAGACTCAGATACGTGCAACTGTTGCCTTTGACCATCCGACTCGGCAAGCCTCTGCCTGTGTGGCAGTTGTGGGGCGAGAGTGGTGGTCGGGATACCATGTAGCACCAAGCATGGCAAATTGATTGAACTGCGGCCGTTTTCTAGGAACCTCCATTCTTGCAAGTAGGCGCCAAGAACAAACAGGTTCTGATACTGTACATCGACGGCGTGGGTGTTGAAATGCACCATGCTTCGGACGGGCCAAAGATGCTAGTCCGGCTGGCAAAGCTCCAGCACAAATCTTTTGTGTGACATGTCGGCCGGGAAAATTCTCCGATGCCAGAGCCCCGTTTGGAGCAAAAAAAACAACTATGAGATTCATGTGTCATGTCAAGAAGATTCAAGAAGGGCAATTGAGGAGTGTGTTTCCAACTTTCGCACAACACATTTCCTACTCATGCACCTGATTTTGCATGTAGAGTCTGTTGCCCATGGGCTTTCAACCCTCCCCCGTTTTTCGATCTCCTCGTCGAAGCGCGAGGAGACGACGCCCCCCCACCCCAGCCGCCTCCCTCTAAGACAGGGGATCTGACCATGTGACCAATGGCGGTGAAAAAGGTGTCGCAGAAAAAAAAGTTCTCGATCGATTCGTACTTTTTTGCCTCATTTCAGGGAACGTTCGTGGATTTGACTAACATACACTCACGCTGAACCGTTGCCAGGTACACAGGACGTATGATCTACCGCGGCCTGTGCGAGGTTGCTGGGCATGGGGACGACCAAAATGATGAGGATGTTTGGGACAAGGCATATCTTGCAAGTTGTAGATACTCCAAGCCTTGCTTCAAGCACTCAGAGCATCTCAAAACTGTGTTGCGGTTGCGGTCACAATCTTCACATGCCTAGACTCAGTCCTCCTGCTGACTGCCCCACAAAATGAATTATGGACAGAATAGAGAGCTTGCTAACGCTGTTCTGCGGAAACATGCAAATGCCTCGCCCTCCGACCTGCGAGGTGGATGACATACATGCGGATGGAATCTTGGTCGAGAATAGCTCCGTCCCTAGACAGCTATGTTGAGAAGGTATGAAGCTACTGCTGATGCCAGGAAATCAAAAAGATTGTCATTGTTTCACTTTGTTAGACTGCCCAGAGCCAGTCCAAGGATGTACCGTCTCCCTTTGTGGCGACGCAACTGGCAACTTTATTTGCTACCCTATCAGCCATTTTGTTTGCAAGATTGCTTGCCAGATTTGTGAGGAAAGTTTGATACTTCCATGTGGGTAGAGAAATGGACATGCTAGAATTATCGTGCAGTTCGGTTGGCTGACGTATTGCTGGAAGGTTTTTTCTCCAAGGTGAAAGGCTTCGGCAAGAGAAGCGTTTCCTGTGCAACTGGGGCCTTTGCGTTTTGAGGCGGCTGTTGTGACTTCGAATCTCATGCACAATGACTTTCGACGACTTCAGTTGCAGTGGCGTTCACTGCGCCAGGGAGCATCCAGGCGGCGAAGAGAATTGGACTTCGGAAGCTGGCCTGGAGGCCCGCCATGGGCCGCCTGCTCTTTTCCAAAGGTCAAACCGGTCAAACCGGTCAAACCGGTCAAACCGGTCAAACCGGTCAAACCGGTCAAACCTCTGGTGTCGAGACTTCGCTGACTCATGGAATGTCAAAGAATTTAAGCTTGAGTATGGAAGGCTGATGTTGCCAGTGGCAAAGTGGTGGGATTTGGTGGGTAGATTACAGATTTGATTGGCTGTCACCAGGAGATCCGTCAGGAGCCGCTGGGTCATGGAGGTTCAAATGCTTTGCAGATTACAAGAGCACAGAACATGAATACTTAAAAATGTTGTTAATATGCATTGAACATGATAGAATACAGAATGAATACAGATATAATATATACATTATCTCAGTGTATATGATTCATAATGTGCATGCATACACACGTGGCAAGATGGATCAGTTCCTTTAGTATCCTTTTTAGTTATTTTTAGTTTCTGTTGGATTTGGAGTTGTTCCCATCCCGAGGTTTCAGAAGGGCCGAAGGGCCCATGTTCGATGGGTTTTGCAGGAGCTGCAGAACTTCGGCGGCAACAGCTTTGCAGGTGCTCAGTCTGAGATTGCGAGGGAAATCGGAGTCCAAATGCTTGATGACTTTTGCTGAACATGTCATCGATGTCATTAAACCATGGGATCTAAATATGTTGTTTATTCAGAACATGTCATAACATGTCATAACCAGCAGAACACAACTAAGATAACTATTCCATTCTATTCCAATATTCCGATCCATTTGCTTCGGTCTTGATCATTTTGTTCATGATGTGCGCAGACATGCCAGCCTTGCACCGCGTTCGGAACAGCCAGGTCTCACGCCTCTTCAAATGGCAGCGGCTTGGTCAAAAGATTCAGTCCCTGGAGAATCTGAAGACATGTTCAGAATGCAGATCAACATTTTCTCTTGAGCTAAGCAGGCAAGGCAGCGAGTGGGAAGTAATGTTGTTAATCGACATATCTACATGCTCGGTTTTATCCACTGCTATGACTACCTCAAGAATTATTGCTGCTGCGTCACAATCTACCTCTAGCCACTTTCGCTCATTCCGAGGAGAGGACCGAGAAAATCATCGGATGGAGCTTATTCGACCGTGATCCATTGAAGTCTTTCGATTTTGGCAACGTGACCTTGTTGGGTGATGCTGCACATCCTTTATTGCCATACGGCAGTCAGGGAGCAACCCAGGCGCCCTGGACAAAACTTTGTTTTTTTTGTCTAAAATGCCATGTGAAGATCATCTTGTTAAGCAAGCCATTGCTCATTGCTTGGCACGAAGATGTAGACTAAGTCTCTTGGGGAAACAGAGAGCAAGTACACTGACAGGTGAATCGGCTCATTGTAGGCTAGTCTAGCTAGATCCCTCAGACGCGATGGTGGATACTTTCAGAACTGTTGCAGTGCACTGATCAAACATCCCATTTTCATCCATTTTCATCCATGTTCATCCATTTTCATCCATTTTCTGCAGCCTTCTTGTTGGTTGGTTTGCTTTGTTCATTAGAGCTTTAGTGTTTCTGGAGGCTGCCTCGCCTCGGGCGGTGCTCTCCCCACAGCCCAGATGTACCAAGGCCATCATGGATGCGGAAGCCCTGGGTGTCAGCTATCAGAATGCCATGGCGAATGGCACAGGCGCGCGCTGTGGCATGCTGTGAATGGCCTTGGAAGCTTTCCAAGAATGTCTGGACCGTGTTTTGGGGTACTTTTACAATCGTTTACATGTAAAAATGCACAAGAAATGTTCATGCACAATTTTGGAGAAGGCGAAGCCAATAGATCGTTTGCGGCAAACAGATGGAAGTATAGATGGAAGTATAGATGTAAGTATTCATTGTGAAATTGTGAGGTATGGTACCCGTAAGGCAGAAACAGGTAGGAGGTGACTCTTCGGACAATATCATCTCATTGCGATTCCCATTGCTCTAAAGTGTTGAGTGGCTTTCTCAATAAAAGTTACTGTACGCTGGACTCAACATGCCTTGTTAGCCTTAGGCTCCAAGGTTTTATACTCACATAGCGTCAGGTGCCCTGTCAAAATGTCTGAATGATCGAATGGCTTTGGCTCAGAAGATTCAGAAGGAACAAGAAATGGCAAAGCCTGGCGCTTTTTGCCCTGGTGTTTTGGCACGTATCTCGGGCTTAACGAAGGATACAAAGGGTGGCTTGAATGGAGAGCTGGGATCCCTGTTGCGCTTGACTGAGACGGGCCGATGGCTGGTTGAGACGGGCAGAGGCCGAACTGTGGCGATTCGCTCGGAGAACCTGTGGCCAGCTGCAGATGAGGTGCCAGAATCGTTCCGCCGAAGTGTGGCGGCAGCGGTGGTGGTCACGGCGCAGCTCTTCTTAGAACTTGCCCGATCTGGAGGGACTCGACAGTTAACGACGTCAACAGAGCCTTGGTGGAAGTTTTCCCATAGTCTTTGCACATCTTTGCAGATTTTTCTTCTGTTTCGTGATTTTTTTGTCTTAGTTGGCTGTTTTGTGTTGCTATTTGGACATGGTGGAAGTAGAAGTCGTGGCAAGGTGCCTCTTCTTCTCTTGGCATGGACATTTGGGACGCTGATGGGAGCACGATGGCTTTACCATCCGTTGATTTCCTATCAGCCTCCGGGACTCTGGGACCTTGGCCGGGCACCTCCATCGCAAGGATTGCTTCGTCTTGGCTCGGCAATTTGTGCTTTGCTGTTGACCTGTATAGTTCGCATTCACCAAAACTTGATTTTGAAGCCAGTTGCTCGGCAGAATTCGGCACATCTCCTCACTGGTCCAGTCCAGTGCTTTCCTCTAGGCTCTTTGAAGATCTTTGAAACAGTATGAAACAGTAATAAGGCCCAGTGCGAGTTTCAACTGCACCTGGCAGTCTTGAGGTTTTCACGGAATCGTTGCAATTTGATGCGGCAATGATGTGTTCAGAAGCCGGATATATTGCCGCCTTGGGCCTGACTTTTCAAAGCTTGTTCACTTACAGCTCCAGTGGCTCGACTTGAAGCCGCCTTTTGCATCTGGGAGAATTGGTGTGAAATGATCATGGGGATCAGCCAATCCCCCATCAAATTGATCGAAGAATACTATAGCTGTACTTACTATAGCTGTTATAAATAGCTAAGTATTCAAAGCGACTCTGGCTTGTTGCCTTTGCACAATGTAAGGGCACAAGGCCTCTCGCAGACTGGATTTTGAAGTATTTTGCATGTTCAATGCCCCTTCGGCAATATTGGATCTCCTTGCAACTCAGAATGCCCCAGAACCCAAGAATTGATCGGATACATGACTGAGGCCCATCAAGTGTTTCTGGATTGCTGCGTTCTCTGGGAGTCGTATCATTCTTTGTTGGACGCTTGTTCTGAAACAGACACGGGGCGGTGAGTCACGTTTTAAGGAAAGTTGGGTTGCGTTGGCCGTTGGATTCCAAAATCCATAAAATGTCCAATAGTTGCCAGACTGGTTGGGCTAGGGCTAGAGCTAGAGATTGGCAGGTTCGGCTGGCGGTCACAGTATTCTCTTTCATGCGGGTAGACTTTTAAGGTTCAGCGTGGCATGCCAAGCTCTTTTGGCAGATCTCACCGGAGTTCTCCCACAGCTCTTTGGCACAGCTCCTTGGCTGATGAGAATGAGGCAGCAATAGCCAGAGCCATAACCTAGGGAGAGGTGCCACGTGTAGACACGACATATATGTGATATATGTCATATGTGAAGTTCCAAGTCTGTCCGGACCAATCAACTTGATGCACCATGTCATCCATTTTCGGTGATCGATGTGCGTTGCTTCTTCTGTGTGCTTTGGGTTTGAGGTCTACAATCTTTAGTGTGATCATTGCAGTGCGGAGACTATTCATCATGTGTACCTGGGACTCCGGGACTGACTCGGATTGCCAAAGACACGCCTGCGTTGCCAATTCAAATGCCGTGATGCATCACTCTTGTCCACTGTTGATATTGTGTTACGTACTTTTTAAATCGTTTTTCATACACGCACATATAAATACACACAATATGCAAATTAAATTCCCTGGTTCCCATGTGGGCCGTATCTTTGTTGTATAATCCTTGGCTTTCAACGATGCACGGGAAGCATCTAAAGGTGCGCCATTGGTTCTGCCCAATGCTTTCCTGACTGTGCCAGTCTTTCGGCACCTTGGCTGATCACTATGCTGCAAAAGAAACAGTAGTACCTTCAAAGTTGGGCAGCCAACTTTCAATGAAATGTTCGGAAATGTTCATTGGCGGAGGAAACTACCTATCAATCACACGTACTTTATTAAACTTGCAGCTAAACTTGTTTGGGGTTCGTTCCATCCATGATGATTTATGGAACAAGGACTTGAGCTGAAATAGATTGAAAAAGTATGCAACGTTGTATTTCAAGCTTTCGCAATTAGTTTTCAGGATTTTCAAGCATAGATAAGCATAGTGAGCAGCGTTGTTTCCCAGCTCGAGGCTTCAAGGGTTGACTGGACATTCTCACACCTTTCGAGAATTGATGCGAAGCAGTTCAGCTGTGTTCCAGTGGGAAACCCGGTGGCTATTAGTACCTTTTTCTATAGATGTTCTTTCCAATGGTGTGAAGATAGTGAAGGGATGTGAAGGGAACTTGTTCTCAGCGACTCCAGCCATGCAAGGTGTCCATGTGGTACATAATGGTGTATTTCAGTACCTATGCGGTGGATTTCTGGATCGCCTTCGAATACTGAGAAAAAGACAGTGCCGTCATTCGGGATGGCCATGGTCTTGGCGAAGATCTTGCGATATGGTTCAACGATCAACGATGTTCAACGATGTTCAACGATGTTCAACGCATCTGGAGCACATTGCTTGCACAATATTTGCATTTGATCATTTGTTTATTACATACGTATATGTATAGATTAGATACATATTTGTGCGCGTGTTTGTCGGTTGTGTCATCACTTTAATTTTGTGCACATCTGAGAGCTTGTAGTGGCTTTATGACCCATGGTTTGGGCCTTCAGCCATTGGAACCAAGAAGCCAACTCGTCAACAACATAGGCATTGCCACACAGCACCGCAATGTTCCAAGTCTACTGTTAATAAGTTAAGCTGCCATGGAGATAGAATTTTGCGGAGAACAGGCAGCAAATGGAAGCATGTTGCACTTTTCTGAGGGTATACAAGTATACAACTGAACTATTTTCACTAGGTCCTTCACTACAGGAAGCCATTTTATGCGGAGAACTTTGGCCCGTGCCATGACAGAAGCTCGGAGTGCCCCAGTTTTTGTGTCACGCACACCAGCACGCTTTGGACAAAGCGTTTGGGACGCTGTCGGCATGACCAGTTGCCGTGGTCTCTTCTATGATGAGCAGGCTCGTGTTGAGTTGGCGACTTCAGTTGATGAGCTCTGCAAGTGTTTTCAAGTCTGGAAACGCTCAAGAGTCAAGATAAGAGACTTGCCTCTTTCATGCAAAATGTAGTCTCATTGCTGAGTAATTACTACTCTTCCGGTTTCATTTCCACATCCTCTTGAACCGTTCACTTGTGAATCTTGCAAGGATGGTAGGTAACATAATGTAATATACTCACAGCCAATGCTCGCGAGCAGAAGCCGTCAGACGCCCAAGATGACTCAGGTGGTGGTTGCGAAAGAAGTTTCGGGGGTTCTGCATATTTCAAAGCCTGAGAGCAAGGAGGACAATCATATCCAACCTCTGAACATATTCTTACACTGATAGGGAAACTGAATGAGTTGATAGAATGACCAGATAGTATCTCACCATATCTCACCATGATTTGCATTGTGTAAAGAGCTCCCTGGATGTTTCATTGGATGTTTCATGATGCTTCCCTCTGTCCAGAGGACATGCCAATCATTTTTCCCCCAGGATATGCAGCTGCCCTTTGGCCGTGCAGCAGCTTCCCTGCCCGGGTCAGAGGATCAATGGGGCCTCTCTGTTTGTTGCCCAGTGGCTGATCTCACACGTCAAGTGCAGGAGGGCACGGCACCAGTCTTGCCTCCAAAAACGGACTTTGTGAAGTTGGCAGTGGTGGTGCTAGTGAAGCTTATCTCAAGTGAGCAGCTTTCGTAGGTAGGTGTCCTATAAAGATCTATAAAGTCCACTTGCTTTGGATCATTTGGGATTGCCCCCCCGACAGTTTTGGTATGTTTTGGTGCATGTTGTTTTTTTCCCCGGGCAGAGTGCAGCCGAACCGAGGAGAGACCACCATGGAAAAGTCCTCCTGACCAAACGAAGGGAACATATGAGGACTTTTCCGCGATGCTGGGTCTTCCCTGGAGGTGGTGTTGATGAAGGAGAGACTTTGACAGCTGCAGCGCGCAGAGAGTTACAGGAAGAGACAGGGTTAGAGGTTTCCAGTGACTCACTGAAGTTGCTTTGCATATGGGAAAGCGTGTTCCCTACTTCAAGCGCTTCCTGTCTGGAAATGGGCCAAGTGAAGGGACATGCTGTCACCGTTTTCGTTGAAGCACTGGTCGAGCAAGATAATGTGCAAAATGTAGTGTTGCAGGCATCAGAGTGCAGTGCTTACACCTGGGTGCCATTGGGACAATTGATCAACTGGCACAGCAAAGACAAACCACCGCCCGCAACCCTGGCCTGGATAATGCTACCTGGGTGGCGAATAGCTGGGGAGACCGTTGAACCTCATAAGATTAGTGCAATACAGCTTCAGGGCATCTATCCAAATCTGCTAGGTGAGGGCATCGGGCAGGGCCATTTGTATGCTTTGGCCAAGCTGGCTGAGCGTGAAAGTCGTGAGTCTACAGCCCGAAGCTCGAGCATCGGCTGCACGTTGTGAAATGCAGCAGGGCCGAGATGCCACAAATCTTGCACCAGGAGGCGGCAGAACTTTCCAAGCCATTGCAGGACCATGTGCTCCGTGGATTCCCGTGGATTCCGAATGAGTTATGGAGGGACATAGGCTGTCCGTGCCACTGAGGGACGGATAGACGAAATGCAGATGCACAAAGAATCACATTTCGCCCAATGTGTTTTGGCGATTCGGAGAAACTGACCAGAGCGAGAAAAAAATAAAAAAGATTGGACATGTCCTTGACCAAAGCCAGTGCTAAGCTGCTCAGTTTGAGGCGACCAGCTGTAAGACTTGCCTAACTGTTGGAATCTTGTTGGACAGCAGCCTGCTTGAAGCACAAACTTGGAGAGGCATTCGCGGTTGCGTCAAGGACGAGCACATGCTTGCTCCTAGTTTTCAAGATATTGTGATAGTCCATGGTCGTGAGTTTCGTGATTCTCGTGGAGTTTGGTGTTATGGTGATTTATGATGATTTATGTATATATATATATTTATGTAAGGTAATTGCATGTGTTTCAGTCGTTTGACCAACGGTGTGATAAAGATGTCATTCTGCACCCGCATTGAAAGCCTTCCAGCGAAGTGCTGCTTCCAAGTTCGTTGGAGGAGTACTCAGATTTGCGCTGTGAAGTTACTGGAAAGGTCACGCGCTCAGATGTTGCAACGAATGCGGTGAAGCGTTTCTGAACATCCAGCAGGGTCGGGTCATGTCGGGTCCTTCCCGTCACCCAAAGGGGCCGGCCCGTTCTCAGTATCCAACAGCATCCAACTCACTTCAGGTCGTCATTGCAAACAGGGACATGGGTTCCACTGCAGTACTGCGTGTCACCGCGCTAGAGACAGAGGCCGGCTCCGCATGGTCCGCAGGCAGTGGCAGTGATGGCCCTGTTTTTCGCAACCTGCTGCAGGGGATGGCCATGGAAGAGAAGCGCCAGTGGTGTGCTGAGCATGGTAAGCGTTTGCATGATGAGGATGGGCGCATTTGTTGTGGGCGACGTTCATGGCGTGTCTCCAAATTTACATAGAGTATTTAATTTATTTAATCAAGCACAGGCCGACGAAGATGGTTGAGCATCAGTGAGTGTTGATGTGCGTTGAAAAGGGTCACTAGAATAATTAATGAATCAAGACCTTGAATCATGGATCCCCAGATTCTTCAAACATGTTCAAACGTTCTTTGGGCTGCACTGCTCCAAATGCCTTAGGGTGTCAAACAGCAACTGTGTCAAGAGTGCTCCCAGCCTTGTCCTTCGCAGGTCATCCAGAAGTACAGGGCCTCAATGCCCAAGAGCGTGCGGTCAGCGCCAGCTGTGCAACGCTGAGATGCCAAAAAGGTGTGCAGAGAACCCTGCTTGTGTGTGGTTCATTTCCTTCTTGGAACGATTTCACAAAGCCTTTCCAAAGGGAGAGGGAGAGGGAGGCTTTTGTGGGTG